GGCCCCCCCATGTTCCAACACTACGCTCTCCAGGAGGGAATGAGCAGCGGCGCTGCTGCTGATGTAGCCTTTTCTGGAGGAATCATCCAATTTGCTCTGTGACTCGGCATCAAAAAAGGCGATGGCATCGTCCAGCAAACAGTCCCCCATCACACAGAGGCACTCCTCGATGTTAGCCTTGAACAAGGCTGCTCGCCTCTGCCTCTCCTCAGGAGGGAGGAGTTTACAGAGACGGCATGAGGAGGCAAGGTCGGTGTGGCGGGGACCCAGGCATCCTTCACAGATGTCGTGCCGGTCAAAAATCAGCTTATAACTGATCTTGCAGGATGGGCACAGGCAGATGGTCCTGGTGCTGGACATCGTTGTTCTTGTAAAAAACAGTGCTGGTTGCTTGCTGAAGAAAAATGGGAGCCGATTACCCGGTCTCACCGTAATTTATATGGACCGGGGGTGAGGCCCACACAGCAGGTGGGAGTGGACTAAAGTTTTCAGTGCTGCGCTGCGCGCGATGGGATAAAACATCCCAATAGAACAAATATTTTTTATTATTACTTATTAAAAATTACAAGCTCATGTAAAAATAAAATGGTAACTTAAAATTACAAAGTATTTTCATTTTAATAACCAATGGCTACAGCTGTCACGTGTTATGAAAATAAGAATCATTGTGTTTAATTCTATCATGTTTTACATCTTCATTATGTTGCATTGCTTTGCTTACAGTGGTCCACAAGGGACAAACCAATCATTACACTTTTTGGGGTTTTTTGCAGTTGAGTGGAGGTGTGGGTATTTTCTCACTTGGCTGCAAAATGGAACTGATAGCCCAAATAAAAAATGTGTAGATCAATGAGTTTATGTGAATCAGGACGTGAGCTCTGTGTGTGGTTCAAACTAAATTTAAATGGTGAAAGTAGGTCGGGGGTCGGGGGGTTCTACTGTGAATCGATTTGAAGAGACACCAAAAGTTCATGCTCAGTAATCCAGGTACAATTCCAACAATGTTCAGTCAGGTCATCTAGACGGTTTGTTTTTTTGCTGAGGTGTTTCATCCAAAGGACTTCTTGAGTCTGAGGAGTAACAATCTGGAGTCCTACAAATAGCTCCCATAGTGGAAAAAAAACTGTTTGCTGGTGCTAATATTGCATCCAGGGCTCACCCTCTCCCCCGTCGACTCCTCTTGGGGAGTCATGCCAAAATGGTTCAAAACACCAAAAGTTCATGCTCAATAATCCAGCTACAAATCCAGGGTTTTTTCCCACAATGGGAGTGTGGTATTTGTGGGACTATAGGTTGTTTGTGACTCCTCGGATTGAAGAAGTCCTTCGGATGAAGGACGAAACGTCTAAGCAAAAAAATAAACCGTCCATATGACCTGACTGTACATTGTTGGATTTGAGGAGACATTTTATTCTTCACACTGAGCTCTAAAATATGAGGATTAATTAATTAATTAATTACTTTATTTATTTATTAAGTATTTATTTATTTCAGGTCTCTCTTGTAAATGAGTCCCTGAGGCTCAATGGGATTAACCTGTATCAAATAAAGGTTGAATGAATTTAGCAGCTGTTAATTATAATGTCTTGTTTTGTCTGTTCAAAACTCTAAAATTACAACAAAAAATACAAATTGTAAATAAATAAGCAAATATACCTTAAAAAAATGTACTCAAAAATCTAAAAACCTCACCTATGACAAATCATCTGAATCCTTTTCATTACTCTGACCCCTACCACCTTAATGTCATGAGGAGTAGCGGTAATAAACATATTCCACTACACACTGGGACACCCCTTCAAGAGGCTGATACGCATCCATATTTAATTTATTTTATAAAAAAGGACACAATGTCAATATGTCCATATACAGTTATACTGTAGTCTATAATTTGTTATTTAGTATACAATTGTCAACATTTGATGGGTTTTATATGTTTGTTGAGGAAGTTTAACAAAAATAATAAATGTAATCCATCAGAATACGTTAAACTACACATTATAAAGAATGTTGTGATCGAAAAACAAACAGATATGACATTGTTTTTTGCTATTTCAAGCAATTTAAGGAGAACTAACTAGTACATCAAACAATATATTTTGACACCTCGAAATAGGCATTACAATGATTGTGACAAAATAAATGTATTTTTACAAGTTCAGCTCACATCCCTTTATTAGAATGGCATGTGCCTCTTTAAAGCATCAATTTTAAGGGCCACAAACCCTACCATGTCACAGTAATCCATCCATCCATCATCCATCCATTTTCTTAACCACATTTCCAATTCTTCACCACAAATATAATTTGGTACACCCCTTCCCATTGGTGTGAATACACATAGACAATAGCTAAAAGGCAACATGGGATTCTGCCTAAACAACCCATGAAGCTGTAAAACTGTTTGATTTCCTACCTTCTCAGTGGACTGTGCTGTTCCAAAGAAGATGGGCACAAAGGCCAGCCAGATGATACAGGTGGTGTACATGGTGAAGCCAATGGGCTTGGCCTCATTAAAGGTCTCAGGAACCCCTCTGCTCTTTATGGCATACACCGTGCAAGTGATCATCAGCACTAAACTGTAGCTCAGACACAATATGAGTGACAGATCAGACATGTCACACTTCAGAATGCCACGGGCAAACTCTGGATTGGGAGGCTTCAGCTCCTCATAGTCGATGTTGGTGTGAGGGGGCTCCACACCAAACCAAACGAACACACCCAGTAACTGTAGAGAAAGAAGTGTTAGACTGCAACAAACCCTGCATGGATGTACTGTACATAGGAGATGCATTTGAGTTTACCTGGACTGAGATGAGTATGAAAGTGATTATCAGCTGAGAGGTGGGGCTGATAAACTTGGGGGGTGTGACCGACTTCTTGCCCTGTTCAAAGATGCGGTAGATCCGGTTGGTCTTTGTGAGCATGGCAGAATAACTAATGCACATGCCGAGTCCCAGCAGCAGCCTGCGGAAGGCACACACAATCACACTGGGCTCTGCAATCATGAGGAAGGTGATGAGGTAGATGAGGAAGATGCCCGTCAGCAGCACGTAGCTGAGCTCTCTTCCGGATGCCCGAACAATGGGTGTGTCGTTGAAGCGGACAAAGGTGGCGATAACACCAGTAGTAGCCAGAATTCCCAGAATTGCCAGGAAAACGGGGATGATGGCCCAGGGAGAGCTCCACTCTAGTTTTATGATGGGTGTGGGCCGACAACCTGTGCGGTTCTTGAAGGGCCTCATGTCAAAGGGACACATGTCGCAGGTGAATTCATCCAGTACGTACTGGTAACCATCACAGAGCTCACAGTGCCAGCAGCAGGGAACACCCTTTACCATCTTCTTCCTCTCACCGGACTCACAGGGGAAACTACACACCGACTCTGGGATCTTTTGGTCACCTCCTGACCACAGCATCTCCTCTACCTAGGAATACAAGATAAACCACATTCATAATATGAAATTATGTCAAACTAAATGAGAAGTCAACAAGAACTAAAAACAATGACAAACCCAAGAGGGACAATGCAACATTTCTGCTAACGGGTTTTTAAGTACTGATTATCAGATCAGTAAAAAAAAACTTTTTCAAACACTATTGACAAAATGTGTATGTTATCGATGAAGTAAATTCAATGATTAGCTAATTAGCATAGAGGTGCAAAAGATTAAAATGTGTCACCAAGGTGCAAGTAATCACATTTGTTCTTGAAATTTTGAAAAGACAAGCTTTGTATCAATCACCATTTTCTGTTTGTTTGTTTTTTTGCTGTTGTTTGATTTATTTTTGTTTGTTTTTTTGTAAAAGAAATAAGACATAGCATGTTCAAGAGTGACAACTAGTGTTACTGGCTGATGAATTTTGCCACCAACAAAGTCCTCCCATTCTTATCCCGGGATACACAACAAGATCTGGCGTAGATGTCCTGACACATGCTCAATAATCCAGGTAGATAAATCTAACGAGGTTAAGTCAGATCCTCTGGACGGATACTTATTTGTTGAAACATTTTGTCTTTTATCCAAAACCAGACTGAAGAAGTCTTTTGGATAAAAGACGAAACGTTTCAACAAAGATTAATCTGTTCAGAGAACTTGATTTAGCCTCGTTAGATCCAGAGTAGACTCTTCCAGCAAGAGGCGTTTGCACAAGTCCTGTTGGCGGAGTGTTCTCTCTTTCACGGATTCAACCCTTATTTTCACAAGAGTGGTTTATCTGCAACAAAGAAGCTCACTTTGCTTGGAGACGTGTAAGTTGGAAGCATAAAACCCGATGTCACTGTGTAAGAAAAGTGTGATGTACCGTTTGCTTAGCTATAGCTAGTACTTGTCTAACAGCATGCTTTTGCAGACAGGACTTTGGCCTTGCCTCACTGAGCTGAGAAACTATGAATGTTAACCCAGTAATGCTCAGTCACATGACCTGACTGAGTATTATTGGATTTGGTACCTGAATGATTGAGCATGAACTTTGTTGTTATGAATGCTAACTTTCTACCAAAAAAAGTCCATGCTCAATGATCCAGGTATACAATCCAACAATTAGGGCTGGCACAAGAGGAGGGGGCGTGCCAAAGACACCATCTTAGCACCAACTTAACAGGTTTGTTCCACTTTGGAGTATGCTGTTTTGGGCAAGAATCGGTTTCGAATTGTGTGTTTCCTTGACTGATGAAACCTTCCGGATAGAAGATGAAACGTTTAAAAAAAAAATTAAAATTGTCCAGATGACCTGACTGAAAATTGTTGGGTTAACTTTCTACCTTAAAGAGTGAGTAAACAAAAGACGCAGTGTAGTATAATAAATATGTTATGGTTTGTCCATCGTTAGCTGAAACGTTGTCTTGTTTTTGGCATGGCTCTTGGTCACCACATGGGTTGGACATTGTTAGCCTTATCTTTGTCCTTCTAACATAAGCCTCATTTAGTTTAGGCAAAAAGGTGACTTCAATATAGGGCCCATGGGGACAGTACAAGGAGGTAAAATGGTAAGGCTAGGAAATGGTATTAAACTTAAATGTTATCTTTTTGGACAAAGCCATCAGTGGTGTAGCCTACGTGATACTTGATAAACGAAGTACACCCACTAGAAAAGCTTAAAAATTTCAGTATACCCACTTAAAAGTTCCCAGTGATATATGACATATCATTAGACACGTGTCATTGATACTTTAAACAGCAGTAAAACGCTTCCGTAACAAGCTATCTGTATGCTGCGCTTTGCTTTGATACTGTTATAAACTCTGTAACATGTTTTTAATATAAAGCCAACTGTTGTACAAAGTTTGTTGTTAATTTATTCAAATATAAGCATCAGATAAATTTGGAAATGTTCAATATGCTTAAAAATCTAAAATAAATTGACAATTACATTGTACTAACCGGTGTACTTTGGTTTCTAAGCACAGTACACGCACTACAAAAATGTAGACTACATCACTGAGCCATGAATGGAGGTTTTCATTTTCCAGTCTTTATATCAAGGTAAAGTTTATAATCTCATCTAACCTTGAGCAAAGCAAAGCACTTGATTTCTCAAGTTTAAGTTTTGCAGATATTTACATTGAGTCGCAGATGGTTCGTCCACTGGCCGATGACTCTGTAACCAGGGTTGCTGACATTGGACATTTGGTACTGGAAGATATCGTACCGACCGGGAGCGTCTCCATTTTCGTTGAACATCACTGCAGTTCCTGCGCTGCCTGTTTTTATGAGAAACAGAATCTGAACAAGCTGCATTCGGACAAATAGTAACACAGAGGACACGAGAATCCAAGTCTTACTGTAGGTGGCTGAGAGAACGCCCACATGTGGCTGAATACAGCTTGTATTGCTTCCTTCTGTCTTGTGTAATCATATGAAAGCTGAGTGCAGGATGCTCTTTAGTGAAGGCTTTCCTCTGTGCCTACAGTCTTTCAGAGCACTCTGCTCTGTTACCCTAACATGATTGAATGTTCCTCTCAGGTCCCTGCAGGGGCTCAATCAGAAAATACTCTGTGCAAGCCAGGGTCACCCAGTAAGAGGAGGGCGGTAAATAGGATGCTTTCATACAACACACATTTTTTCTATCAAACTGTAACATTTTTTTTTCATGAGACAAGGATGAAAAGCTGGAGTATTGTGAATAGAAAAGAGCGAGGAGGCAGCTTTAGGGCAGGGGCATGCTTTGAATCAATGCGCTGTTTTCTGCAGCTGAACATTAGCAGAAACATCTCAAACATTACATTTTTAATCTGACCTCCCGTCTGCTGTTCTGTCCTTAAAATTGGCCTTTTCTTTAAAAACTCTGCAGTGACGAGAACATTACCGGCATAAATCTCAGCACTTCCTTTACAGTTCGGGTAATGTCCCTTTTATACAAAAATTATAGGAGAAAGATCAAGAATCTCACCGTTGAAGTTTACAGAGTGGATGTACTGGAGGAGCATCCGTCCTTCTACGGGGTCCATCTTCTCGCAGACACCCATGTAGCCTGGACAGAGGTCCAGATGCATGCTATGCAGAGCGTGAGCCATGGCATACACAGCATCGATCACAAACTGCACCTTGCCCTCCTGCTCGTACTGAGAGTCTCGACTGATTCTCTCTTCGCCTGGCAGATTACAAAAAAATGTCCCATGAGGTTGTGATGGAAAGACAAACCATGCACTGGGATATCCTTTAGATACTTTAAACATGCTCAATGACATCCCTGTGAGATAAACATGGCCTCCTCACCTGTACATTTCCTCCTGTCGGGGTCATATTTTATGCCTGGTCGAGTTAGTTTGCACTTGAAGTCATCCTCCCAGAACTCAGCAAACCAGATGTTTCTTCTGTTGTTTTCCAGAGATCTTGAAGTGAAGTACTCATCGAACCCTGGATCGATGCACATTAATAATCATTTTATGTTGCAGGAATATATCACAAGGTGGACCAAAAAACGTGCACTAAAATAAAAACATCCATTTTCCACCCACGAAAATGAGTCTTTGACTCAGTTTAAACAAGATATGAAATCAGGTTGTTCAGACTCGTCAATCAATAGTTTTATTCATCTCATCAGTGTCACATGTGACAAGTGTTTTGAAGATATTCCCTGCAGACCTCGCTGTGTCAGTCTGATTTGTTCTGCAGCCCTACCATCAATGGATGCTCTTTTGGGCAGGATGGTGACAGCGCCCTCGGCCACCTCTTCCTGGTCTTCTATGGGGGAGCTTTTGGCCCCCCAACTGTCAGATCCAACAAAGAGGAAGTGGCCCGTCAAATTGGCTCTTTTGGCAGCCTGCAACACCCGCCTGAAACAGAGCAAACATTTAGATCCCACTCAGTCTTTTTACATGGCAATGAAGAATAAAACAAGTTTCTGTGATTTTCATCTCTAATCCCAGCAGAGCTCGACTCACTTGATGTCGTCCTCATTAGCAAAGATAATGACCCCTCGAGCGTTCGAGGTCTCCATTAGTCTCTTGACGATTTTGTCAAACTCTCCTGGTCTGGGTTCTCTGGGAATCTTTATGGACTGTGCAATACACAGCCCTCCTATGGGAAAGAAATCACAAATAACGAAATTACTGTAAATAAAACTGTTGCTGAAATATAAAAAAAAGTTATGTTGCTTTACAGTATGTAAGCATATTTAATTATGTTTTATTGAAAATGATAGGAAAGATTTTCATTTGAAAAATGTTAGCCAGTTGGGATGTGAGCACAGTTTTATTTGGATCATTAACATTTTAAAGTGCTAGTTCAGCCCTTTTTAAGTAGCATTCTAAGAAATGAATAATTAGTTTCATACCTGCTGCAGATGACACTTTAAAGGACCTTACTTTAGAGAAATAGAGTTTAGCTTCAACAGGACTTGTGAATAACTAGCTAAGACTAAAGTGGATTGCTGGAAAGAAATGAACTGTTTCTAATGTTTCTCTTTTTTTTTTTCAAATAGTCTAAAATTCACGTTAAGGAGATCCGTACATTTAACTACATCCTAACTTGTTTTGCTGTTTGTTTTTAAACCAGGCATATTAAGCCTCCATGTTGTGCAATGTAGTAATTAAAGTTTTAAACAAAGAGCGTGGAGTCCCACAAGGTCCTTAGAGACCGAACAGTACAAGGTTTGACATCTTAATTTGGCATCCACCATTTATGTAGCAGCACTGAACACATATTACAGCTGAGGCTGCTGGGAATTTGCTGATGTTTTAGTTCCTTTTTACATTGTTTATTGCCTCCTTCTAATGTTGCTTATTACAGCTGTTAACCTCATTTTGGGTGTTAACATCTGACTCATTAAAATTCATTGACTGGAGGCTGTGAATGGAAGTTTATTTATTCATTTCACCGTCAATCATTCAACAGATGAGGACGTATTCTGCTCTGGTTTAAAGTAACTCAGAGACTCTGTTGTTAAGATAAAGCAACAGTTACAGCATCCTGTCCTGCTTTCTCAATCACTGATTTATGACTTTTGATGATATTAAATGAGAAGAAACAACAGCTTTTGCGCTTTTAAACCTAAACGACGAGCTCCACTGTTAGCCTTCAGGCATTAAAGGATTGGGGTTTTTTTTCTATTTGAGTCCTTTAATGAGAGCAGGATGAGTAATCCCTCATTGTTTGAGCAGCAAAATGTAAACTCGTGCAGCCGGAGCAGTCAACCTGCTTCTCTGGATATCTGAACGAACGCGTCTACGCCGCTCTCTCCATAGTTGCCCTCAGACGCCAGCGTGGAGACGTAGTTCCATCCCATGGCTTTGACAATGTCCAGCATGGCCTGGGCCTGGTAGGAGTCAGGGGGCACCACACGGGAGAAGAACTCATAGCGGCTGTTGTCGCTCAGCTCCGGGGCAGTGGAGGCGTAGCTGATCTGGGGGATCTGAGACACACAGAGGGTCAGCGGTGACCAAAGGGCCAGGTCAAGCAGAAAATGCGAGCAGCTCTAATTATTAGGACAATAAGCGAATCAAAAGGTAAACAGGATGACAGGAGGAGGCAACGAAGCATGCCAGAAGATGATGCACCTCTTATTCACAGACAAACCCTTAATAAAGTCTAAATAAAGGCTTTTCTCTTTTATTCTGTCTAGTTGTGGCGCATCACAAAACTGAACTCAACTCTTGAGCAGAAAGAGCTCAGAAGATAAAAGCATCTCAGGGAAATACAGATGGAGCAAACTAAAGCTACAAAAGTTATTTGTTTGGAGGAAAAACAAAAGAGGAGATTAATTTATTATTGTGCTGTTTCTTTTAATGACAGCTGATGTGAAGCGTCCCAACCCTGAACTTGCTAATGCCAGTGCAACAGCATGGTTTAACGCTGAACCCTCCGGAGAGGAGAGAAAGGTAAATACCAAGGGAGAAGGAGAGAGGAGCGAGAACCATTTCACAGATTATCTGCAAGGATTATAAGGGTTTTAGGCAAATTATGTTAAGCACAGAAGGGAGACAGCGATCAACCGACCTGAAAAAGGTTGGCATGTCTCAGCTGTAATCTACATTGTATATTTCCTTCTGATGCTGTTTAAAATGCTACTTTCTTTTAATCTCAACATCCTCTGCGGTCCTGACCAGCCTTGAGGCTCTGAAGCATATTTTCAATCAGAAGTGATTTTTCATCGAACTGTAACTTCACTGGCAGAGAGCAGCCTACAGGGCGACGTCAGATTGTGTCAGGATCGCAGAGGCCATTCAAATATTTGCACACAAACATGTAATGAGTGAGACAATACGCACTTAGACACATAATCCTCCACAAATTAATCCCACAGAGGCATCTGTGCTAATTCGCTCATCAATGAGCCATATCAGTAACACAACAATCCGTTTGTAGACGTTACAGAAACACAGGTGAATTACCTGTAGACGTGTGGGAATTATAACGGAGTATTAGGGCCACGCTAAGAAAAAAAAATTATACTATGAGAAAAATGTCATGAAATTACTTGAATAAAGTTGTAATATTACGAGAACAAACTCGTACAAGAATAAGGTCGTAATATTACGAGAATAAAGCCATAGTATTACGAGAATAAAGTCGTAATATTACGAGATTAAAATCATAATTTACGAGAATAAAGTTGAAATATTATGAGAATAAAGTCATAATACTATGAGAATAAAGTTTTATGAGAATAAAGTCATAGTATTACGAGGATAAAGTTGTACGAGAATAAAGTTGAAATAATAGGAGAATAAAGTGGTAATATTACAAGAATAAAGTCATTGTATTATGAGATAAAGTTGTAAAATTAAAAGAATAAAGTCGTAAATTACGAGATAAAGGTGAAATAATATGAGAATAAAGTTGTAACACTATGAGAATAAAGTCAAAATATAACAAAAATAAAGTTGTACGAGAATAAAGTTGAAATATTACGAGAATAAAGTTGAAATAGCATGAGAATAAAGTCATAATATAACGAGAATAAAGTTGTAATATTACGAGAATAAAGTCATAGTATTGTGAGAATAAACTCATAATATTATCAGAAAAAAGTAGTAACTTACGAGAATAAAGTCGTAAAATTACGAGAATAAAGTCATAATATTATGAGAAAATACTCAAAATGTTATCAGAAAAAAGTCGTAATTTACGAGAATAGTCATTGTATTATGAGAATAAACTAGTAGTATTATCAGTAAAATGTCAAAATTGACGAGAATAAATTCAAATGATTACAAGAATAAAGTCGTACGAGTGTAAAGTCATAATATTATGAGAATAAACTCGTAATATTATCAGAAAAAATCGTAATTTACGATAATAGTCATAGTATTACGAGAATAAAGTCGTACGAGTATAAAGTTATAATATTATGAGAATGAAGTCATTGTATTACCAGAATAAAGTTGTAATATTACGAGAATAAAGTTGTACGAGAATAGTCAAAATAATACGAGAATAAAGTCGTAGTATTATGAGAATAAAGTCGTACGAGTATAAAGTCGTAACATATTATGAGAATAAAGTCATAGTATTACCAAGATAAAGTTATAATATTCCGAGAATAAAGTCTTATGAGAATAAAGTCGAAATTATATGAGAATAAATTCGTAATATTCCAAGAATAAAGTCAAAATAATACGAGAATAAATCATGATGATACCAGAATAAACTCGTAATGTTATCAGAACTCCGACACAGAACAGCAGTAGTACAACTGCGGTAAAATGATGAATGTTGAGCATCTTGTTAAGTTATACTTTGGTATTGGTTTTACAAATAAGGAAATGTTTCATCTGTTAGTACATCAGCATCAGATTATTATCAGTATCAGGACTTTGAAACAATGGTGCAAAGGACTGTTTGTTTCAAAGAAAGAACCACACGGATTTGGAAGAAATTCCTTCTTTTGTTCAAGAGGAGCTTTCTTGCACTGGTCGACTGTAAGGCTATAGGTGGTTACATCTGCACTCTTACGTTTAAAAATGACTTTATTCTCATAATATTTCAACTTTATTCTCGTTATTTTACTACTTTTTTCTTGTAATGTACAGTAATTGTTTTCTTAGCATGGCCCTAATACTCCGTCATAGAAAATGACATGCAACGTGTTAAATTAACACGTGACACACTGTATGTAAAGCACATGTTGTGCACACGTTTCCACTATGATGTCAGAACATTTTCAACATATTAAGGTGAGCACACGCCTCATCTTGCTCACCTTGCATCTATGAGCTGCTCTGCTGAAGAAACTGTAAAGAGCATTATTTTACTTTCATACGTTTCCTTCTCTCACCTTTCCATGCAGGTCCGCGGGGGAGCTTGTGCATAAAATTTTGCATCAAATAAGGCTTTTTTTTTTTTTTTCTTTAGCTTTAAAAATCTGTGAGTTTAAATTGGGAAAGTAATATTCAGTGATTAGAAGCAGTGTAGTAAGTAATCAAGGTAATCACTGGGACCTGAGCTGCAAATACTGACTTTTTTACTCTCAGTTTATCAGTTAACTGCATTTTTACTTTAACATTTTTATTTTGAAGTAAGTACAAAAAATAAATAGCTGCTTCAGTTTCCAAAAGCCAGGAAAGCATCTATTCATTAACTTCTGAAATTCTGCTGCTCTGTGAGACGAACAAATCCAACATATTAATTTTTGCAGTCATGACAATAAACAATCCCACTGCCTCAGGAGGAGTATGAACATTTATGAAAGATTAATAAAAAAACAAATTAATAAATGTTGAGTGTTGGTCCAAAGCCAGAAAGCCCTGTGTTCAATTATTAAATGATACTGTGTTTGACAGAGTTTGCATGTTTTTCCCATGTGTTTTTGTTGTTGTTGTTGTTTGTTTGTTTGTTTTTTCTGAGCATGCCTGGGTACATCCTGAAATGTTGGACCTCTCGCCCACTGCTGATGAGGATGGGCGCCAGCGTCACCACAGCCCTGCTGGCTCAAGATGGCATAAAAAAATGGATGTTTGGGTGTTTGGTGTATAAAAGACTGAAATTAACCAGAACAGTGTACAAAGTACATGTTTTCCCTGTGCATGTGTGGGCTTTTATCAGTGATGCAGTTTCCTTCCACAGTCTAAAAACACGCATGGCTGCGGCATGACTGGTGATTCTGGGATGGTCTTAAAGAGCGGGTGAATGTTGTCGCCATGTGGACCTGTGATGGACTGGCAGTCTGTTCAGGGCACCAGAATCTTGAGACCCCAGACAGGATCAGGAAGGTCAAGAAACAGAACAATGTTTGAGTGTCCTTGGAAACAAACTGAAATTAACAATGAAAGTTTGAAATAAAATAAATCTATAACAATGCTATTTGGTAGTATACTGTACATTACTTTTGTTCCTTCATTACACTATTATTTTTACTAGAATATGCAGTAAATGCTTGCACATCATATAATAACAACAACAATAATAATAATAATAATAATTCTCTCCAATCTGGTTTAGAGTGGTTGTACAGTCAATCTCCATCTAGAAGCAGCTGCAGTCCTGGAAGTGGCACATCTGGATGTTGGTAGCAAACATGCCATTTAGCTAAATGTCCTCTGCCCAGGTCAAAAGTTTCTGTTATCTCATAACTCACGTCATCGTCCTGCTCTGATGGTCTTTTCTTCTTCTTTTTTTTTCCTCCCAGGCTCTCGAGCCGCTGAGAGGGGTTTAGCGAAAGTTGGGATGCATAAATCTGTAGTTAACATCTGCCTCGTGTCCAAGCTGCCTCTCCACCGCTCTTAACACGCTCACCTCCCAGGATGCTGCAACATGTTGCATCCATAACAAAAAAAATGTCTGTTTTAAATTTAACAACTTTGAAACAAGCTGGGGTTTATGTTCAGAGATTTCTAGATTTTTGGCAGATGGCAAAATGTGGGATTTGTAAGGACTCAATTATCCACTATTGCCATAGAGACTATCTGCAATCAGTATAATGTCAAATCCACATTAAAGGCTGGTTATTTGAATAAAAAAGGCTTCACTGCACACATAACTGGGATTAGGCTGCAGAATCTAATGATGATAGATTCATAACCCTGTAACAGATTTGTTCTCGCAGCCAGAGATACTGAGGTTCATTCAGATTATATAAATCAATTTACCATTAATAATGTATCACACTGAACACATGATGTGTCAGCAACAGGCTATGTGAGCAAGAAAAACATGAATGACTCCCCTCAATAAATGCTGAATTTACAGTATTAGCTTCGTAAGATATGCAGTGACCTTCTATGCACAATATATATTTAGCCAATTCCTGACTGAAAATGCAAGAACAGGAAACACATCTGCTCATTTCTCCGATGATGTATTTTAAGTAACATCAAAGTCTGTCTGATAGGAAACAGATATGAAGTGAAAGTGCTAAAATCTTAATTAAAAAAGGCATAAAATTTCTAAATGTATATTTTCATCTCACTTTTGTGCATTTGTTTTGTGTTTCTATTAGATACAAAAGTGTACACACACACACACACACAC